CCTTGGTCCACCTGCCCTCAGTTCTTCTTGCTATGTGACCAGCTATGTGACCAGTTCTCTAATCTTTGTGTGTGTCTTTCTATCTTGCCTTGTGATGCCAAGCATGTATTTTTCCATGGCTCATTGTGCCACAAAATAATAGACCAAAAACAAGCTAAACTGTGAAGTCTAAATAGGATGGACCAGACCAGCCATTCAGTTATGCAGAATAAGAGTACATTCAGGATGGACTGTGACATTAGGATAGAACTGACCCAGGATTTGGCTCCCCATCATGAAGATTTCAAACCAATAAATAATAGATTTAGACTGGAAATGAGCTTTCTGTTAATATGCTTGCATCTTACCTTTCTTTGTCCCAGTTTCTTGTAATTTTCAGTTTGATAAATTGTAATTTAATACCTAGAATCACTCATTCTATGTTTGTGAGACATATTCGGATCCCATCAGTAACATACACTATGCCTCAATGTCTCAAACATCACGGAGAATGTAATTCAATGTATGAAAAAGTTGCCAGCTTGGGGAATATTAGGCAATATTATTTTTATATTGTCTCCATTGACATTGACATATACTGTACGTTTACTTCTATGCTGTGTGTGTGTCCCTCCCTTCCTGTTAGGCATGAAAGATCAAGTCCACATCTGAAGGTTAAATTAAACTGATTTATTGCTAATCATGCCTATGTACAAGTATCTTCTCAACTAATGTTTAATACTTATTTAGAGTTAGATAAGGGTCAATGGAATCCACAGGGAAGTTAGACTGAGTTCGCTTGTTGCTAAGTAGGGATTCTAGGCTGATCTCTCTTTGAATTCTGCCCCCCAAGTTCTGCCACTCCTCCTACACCTCCTTTTCAGATACTGTAGATTTATAAAATAAATGAAAAGACTTGCTGGAAACCTGGTTATTTTATACAGAATACTGTCATTACCATTAACAAAGTCTATGAATCAAAACTTTGGTGTGAAGTTTTGTCCTGTGTATTTTCTTATATAAAAGATTAAGGCTCTTCCTCTAGCATATGGTCTCTCTCCCTTATGTTTAAAACCTTGTTTTCTCTCTTTATTTTTCTCACTTTTCAACAAACATCCCCATATGTTTCTCAATTATCCTTCCGTCACCCCCTCCCTCTTAGCCAGTAGTGTTAAATCAACATTCAAATTGTTTGTCCCTTGGAATCTAGAATCATGAAACAGGTTTGGGACTCGGAGAACGGGAAGAGATCACTTTACTGAGGATATTTTATGTAGAAACATTCTAGAATTCAAATGGCCTTGGAATGAAGCTATAGGATCCTTAGGCTGTCTTATTTCAGGAAGAAGACGTGTTTTTAGAGGAAGACAGTCAAGTTCATATTTGGAGCTCCTCAATATTATTATTAAGGCAGAGGAGATACTGTAGCTCTTAAATAATTCTCCAGGTCAAGGAATAATGCCCCTAAACTCCCCAAATCTCTAACTTGGTAAAACATCTGAGATTATAAAATGTTATGATTCCGATAGATGAGACCAGTAAAAACAGAACTCCAAGGTAGAAAGTTTCCTTAAAGAACATATTTATTGGCTACAAAGTATTGGCATGATCAAAAGTGAAACCAAGACTGAATTCCCTCCCAAAGGTTAGAGAATTGCAAAGCTGAACTTCCCACCCCAGCATCATGTCATAAATCACATTCCCCAATCAATTACTTTGGCTGGCTTTCTAACAGAAGGCTCAGCCTGCCAAAATCCAGGCAGCAATGACCTTGGTTCTCATGGGACAATTTATTGTTTTGTCTAACCTTAAAACACACACATTCCCCCCTCCCATACTGTGGCAACCGAAAACGAAGTAGAAATGGCTTCAGCCAAATTCGTTGCAGCGTTGACAGTCGGATCCCCTAAAGCAGGGGTAGGCAACCTCAGCTCTTTTATGACTCATGGACTTCAACTCCCAGAATCCATGAGTCAGCTATACTGAGTTGAAGTCCATGAGTCATAAAAGAGCTGAGGTTGCCTACCCCTGCCCTAAAGAAAGGAGAAATCCTGTAAATGAAGAAGAGTCAGAGTTAGGAATCTGGCAAGGACATTTAAATGTTTAGATAACTCCTCAATAACTTGTGATTAAGTTTTAGTTGGCTTTAGAGTATGGCCAAGACAGCATGTGATGTAAGAGTCCTTTGGAGTCTTCTTTCCTGCTGCTTTCCTGCCTGACCCCATAAGATCTACTCTTATTCTGAAGGATGTCTAAGGAAAGTCAGTTCATGGAGGCTGTTCATGTGGTATTGTAATGTTAAAAAGAGACTATGAAGAAAGAGGACCGAGAATGAGCCATGGTTTTTTGGTTATGAATGGAGGTTCTTAAACTGTATTATCAAGGGAGGTTAGTAGTCCATATGAAATATTTGCCCTGCAAATATTAAGATTAATGTTGCTGTTCTAACATCAGAGAATTGGATACTGTTCCACCAATACAGCTGTTGGATTTTGGACAGCAATGTTACTGCTTTTCCTACAATGTTGGTTTTATTTGGTCCAGCATCCAGAACCAATGAAATATGGTGTAACAACAACAACAACAACACCATATCTAATGATTTTGTTTCCTTCCAGTGAATGTGAAATGGCTTTTTGACTGGGTGGTGGGGAAGTGCTAATGCTCTTCTCCCTTCTTTGCTAGAGCCGCCTATATCTTGTTCCTCATTTATAATCTCCACTGGGCACAAGGCTTTCAGTGTTTACCACATGTAGATTGTGGTAATCGTTGTGCCAGCAGGTGGCATCCCAATGCTCAAACTGGTTAATATTGCATTGGCCAACTTTCAATAATAACAATCTGGCTGATATCTCTCCCTCCAATGAAAGTGATCACACCCCTGTTTTCCAATCAGCAAAGTTCCAGCAAATTGCTAGAACTGAAACATCAGCCCAGCTGGCTCCTATATGTTATTCATTTGCTTCTAGGGCTCCAAAATATTTGTGCATTTAAAAGAAGGAAGGAAGAGTAGCCTTGGAACGGTAGAGGTTGATGGGAAACGCTAGAATCTCAGTTCTTGGCTGTAGAGTGGACTTGCAATGTGAAATGATTGAATGGCAATGAAATATTTATTTCGGGCTGCAGCTCAGTAATTGGATTGGTGCCAAAGTTAACGTGAATCAGCACAGACTTTGTTTATAAAAAGCTTAAAGGTGTATCGGTTTCATGCTGAGATTGATTCCAAGTGACTTCATGGACACGGGGACATAGTTCTCTTAGTTTGTTACCAGCTATTTTGGGGATATCCAGAAATATCTTATCCATTGTTGGGATTCTGGTGTTTGCTAAGCTTGATTTTTTTCCTTGCAAACATTTGTTTGCCTGTTACGTTGGTTCTCCCTTATTCATATGTTGATTGCTGGGTGCGCAATCAAGAACACTCTTAAGATGAAACAATACGGCCAATCAAGCCAAATCAGAAACAGGTTCACAAACTATAAGGCAGGTGGGAAAAGCCACCACCCATAAACTACCAGCAAGCCCAACTCTTATGCTAAAGCACTGATGTTGTTATCTAATTTGGTAAGAAAATATTTGCAAGAAGAAAACCAAAACCCCCAACATTTCCATGTTAAGCTGCATACATTCCCCATTCCCAAACTAATGTGATGGTGATGTTATCTATTCAGTCATGTCCAATTCTTGATGATTCTGTGGGCCAGATCTCCCCTCATCTTCCAATCTTGCACTACTTTTTTGAATCATTCCATGCTCCACTTGGTGTCAGCTTTGATGGTGTCCAGCCATTGTGTTCTTTGATGGCCTGGTTTCCTTCACTGGTAATTCATTCAAACATAATTGCTTTCTCCAGTGAATTCCCCTGCATGGCATGGTCAAAATAAGCGAGATGCAGTTTCGTGATTTATCTTCTAGTGACATGGCTGATGTTATCTGCTCTAGTACTTGGTTATTAGTACTTGGTTATTAGTTATTGCTGTTAAGGAATACACAAGAGCCTTCTTCATCGCCACAGCTCAAATGAATAGGGTGCATATTTTCCGAGCCTGCCTTATCCACATTCCTGGAAAATCCAATTGGGTGAAAATCCACTCAGGGTTAGGTCTCCATCAATTCGGACAGCAAAATGGACCTCATCAATGGATTTAGAGCCCATGGGTATGGTTAGGAGGGTGCATATTTTCTGAGCCTGCCTTATCCAAGTTCCCTGGGGGAGAAATCCACTTAGGGTTTGGTTTAGGTCTCCATGAATTCGTAGACCAAAATTGACCTCGCCAATAGATTCAGAGTCCATGGGTATAGTTAGGACAGTGTTTATTTTCCAAGCCTGCCTTATCCACATTCCTTGGCAAAATACATGGAAAAATTCCTTTTGGGGGGGGGTGTAAGAAACAATAGTTGGAAACTAATGAAGAAGAGAAGCAACCTCTAGAATTAAGGGAAAATTTCCTAACGGTGAGAATAATTAATGAGTGGAATAGCTTGCCTTCAGAAGTTGTGGGTGCTCCATCACGGGAGGCTTTTAAGAAGAGACTGGACAGCCATTTGTCTGAAATGGTATAGCGTCTCCTGCTTGAGCAGGGGGTTGGGCTAGAGGACCTCCGAGGTCCCTTCCAACTCTGTTTTTCTGTTAATAGCCAAGCCTAGATTTGATCTGACAATGCCAAAACCACCAGTAAAAGATGGCAAGTATTAGGGAGAGATAAGATCTGAAGACACTCTATCAAGAATAAAATATTTCCCCAGTTACCTGGACAGTTGTACAACATGCCCAGTGCAGATCAGCTAATGATAATGCGAAGGCTCCGGGTTTAATTGTCTCATGGGACCAAGCATTAAAGATGAAGCCTTCCAAGTTGGTAGGAATGCCAAAATAGAACTTTTCCTTTGGAGCTCTTTCTATCAGTTTGCAATTGCTGGGAGGGAAACCACAGGAGAAATTAGAAAGCCAAAGGTTACTGAAATTATGGTAGAAAATGATCTTTTCCCCCTTTTTCCCCCCTCCCCTTTTCTCTCCTTAGGGCAGCAGTTGAAGCTCTGGCAGCTTTGTTGAAATCAAGTAAGCTTTTCTACCTTTCTCATTTTTTCCTCTCCCTACGCACTGTTTCCTGTTCTGTCTGTATACACAGACATGCTCTCATTTGTATAAAGTCTCCCCATCTCTTCCCTCCTTCATTCTGATTAGGATCACTCCTCTGAAACTGCAACAGGACACCGAGACTGCAAAAATGCAGTGCAGAGGACATGGGATACTTTGAACATGTCACACTATATTTGCCTCACTTTAGGGTACAGTACACGAGTTATAAAAAAAAAAAGAAGAAGAAGAAGAAGAAGAAGAAGAAGAAGAAGAAGAAGAAGAAGAAGAAGAAGAAGAAGAAGAAGAAGAAGAAGAAGAAGAAGAAGAAGAAGAAGAAGAAGAAGAAGAAGAAGAAGAAGAAGAAGAAGAAGAAGAAGAAGAAGAAGAAGAAGAAGAAGAAGAAGAAGAAGAAGAAGAAGAAGAAAGTTCTTCCTGCCAAATGCTAGATGCCATCTCTTAAAGAGTGTACGTATTCTCAGGTCTACCAACCTGTTTTCTCCTGGATTTGGAGAACACTTTAGGGCAGGAGAAATCCTTGGGATCTGGACAGCCCAATGTGGGTGCTTGTCACAAAATGGTGCTTGAGACTAGTCCTTTGTGACAGAAGTCAAACTAAGGTTAATTCTTGGTCTAGCTCTTTCCCCTCTGCCAAGCAGTTCCCTACTTACAAATGTCTTGCTTTCTTATTCCAACTCAAGCACTGAGATTTATCGCCCTCGTTTTGTTTTACAAGAATGCCTATAGGACATATGAGGGCTTGGGGGCATTTTCCCAAGTAGGGATGATGGTAAATAAGGATGATGTTGTTAGAATAATTAATCTAGGGCAGGGAATTGTGTAAGCAGCAGCAATACATTGCCTATTTGAACAGATTTCTGGTTTGAATCATACCTGAATAGTAAATTCTAGGAAATATTGTTTTTCTTCGGCATCTTTCAATAAGGCTTCTAGCTGAGTTCCTGGAAAACCTTTTCCCCAATAAACCTTGACACTGGAGATATGTGGAGTTCTTGTCCACAAATCTTTGGAGGTTCAAGGCTGGAAATATTGGAATGGTTCTCCTCCAAGAACCATTCTAATAGCATTAGTTTTACAAAAATGGATTTGCTAAGAATGATCCAGCCTCTGGCCCTGGAGAATGGAATGGAATATTTTATTAGCCAAGTATGATTGGACACACAAGGAATTTGTCTCCGATGCATAAGTTCTCAGTGTTGATGTATACCAACACTGATGTTGATGTATACCAGTGTTTGATGTAGCAAACCCACTAAAAGGTGGTGGCCTTTTGCAACACTGCTGCCACTACTATCCCAGTGGGTTCAGTGTGACTTCAAGCAGAGGTGAGATGACATTTTGGAGACCAGGATCTTGGTTCCCGGTGGCAGAGAAGAAAGCTTTGGAGAATCACTGAAGATTGCTAAGTTATGGTGACATTCAGCTGCAGCCTTATTTATGCAGGGTTTAAAGGATCTGCTAAATGAAAGAACAGGCCCTTGCACAATCCTGCACAAAGAGTGAATGTTCCTGAAGCCAGTGTTATATCATCCTGTGTCTCTTTCTCCCATCCCAAAACAACTTAGGCATTTATCACCAGAATTTAATAAAGCTTTGTCTCCAGCCGAAGAACACTTTTTCTTCATCAATCTTCCTGATGGTAAATCACAAGCCTACGTTGTCTTTCTCCACTCTCACCCACCGGTGCACCCTCCTTTTCACTGCCCCAAATCCTTGCACAGGTTTTGATGAGTCAAAGGAATCTAGGAGAGAAGCAACCTAGAACTAAGGAGAAATTTCCTGACAGTGAGAACAATTAATCAGTGAAACAATTTGGCTCCAGAAGTTGTGGGTGCTCCATCACTGGAGGCTTTTAAGAAGAGACTGGACAACCACTTGTCTGAAATGGTACTGGGTCTCCTGCTTGAGCAGAGTTGGACTAGATGACCTCCAAGGTCCCTTCCAACTCTGTTATTCTGCTATGAGCATTAGGATTTGAGTGCTTTTTGTGACAGAAACTCAGAGCTCTAGAAGTTGATCTATTTAAAATCTACTGATTGAAGTCTTCAATTCACAAATAACATGACAGCATCAACCTTCAACCTGCATTGAAAGGTCAGATTATTATGATGAGCAAATGCCTCAGTTCAGGTTTTAAATCTTAATCTGCCAACTCTGGTGCTACCTTCACCTTTTAGAATGGAAACGTTGGATATTAAGAAAGAGGAAAGCAATGGGAGCATATTTTTTTTTAAAAAAAAAATACTTCTCTTTTATTCACCAGCTCCAGGGATCTGACATTATTGAAGTAGCATTAAAGCAAAACTATGAGAATGGAGGGTGGGTTTTTTTGTTTTTTTTTGATCAGTGTTACTGAGAGAGGGAAAAAATTCCTTTTCCAGATTTTTCACAGGAGATGTTCCTTGAGAAGATTGTCTTCTCTTACTTTATACTCCTCTTTCATATTGGCCCCAATTGCCCTCTCTTTTATGGTTAACCTAGATAATGTGCAAGCTGTCATCCTGCTTCAGTTCCTAACTTAATGCAATATATTTTAAGTATATGGTGCCCTGGTCTAATTTAGGATTAAGTAGTTGGCGTAATGCTTTCCTTTTAGATTTCTTTTAAATAAATAAACCATCTTACCGCCAGTGTGTAGCTGTAAGGATTAAAAGAATAACAACACATTCCTCCATTAGCATCAGTGAAGTTTTGTAGCCATTTCCCCTGTATTTGAAAATTTATTTATTTTTTAAAATTAGGAAGAGTGTTCAGTGCTACCATATCATAACACAGGGAATCTCCATGGAGACTCTGCTGATTTAATGCTAGTTTTACCTCTGCTTGGCACATGATGGGAACTGAAATTATTGGGTGGAGGTAGCATTGTGTGTTAACACTTTGGTCAGGCATACATTAGTGAAATTATTAACAAAGATGATTAGGGGACTGGAGGCTAAAACATACAAGGAACGGTTGCTGGAATTGGGTATGTCTAGTTTAACGAAGAGAAGGACGAGGGGGGACATGATAGCAGTGTTCCAATATCTCAAGGGTTGCCCCAAAGAAGAGGGAGTCAAGCTATTCTCCAAAGTGCCTGAAGGCAAGACAAGAAGCAACGGATGGAAACTAATCAAAGAGAGAAGCAACCTAGAACTAAGGAGAAACTTCCTGACAGTTAGAACAATTAACCAGTGGAACAACCTGCCTCCAGAAGCGGTGAATGCTCCAACACTGGAAGTTTTTAAGAAGAAACTGGACACCCATTTGTCTGAAATGGTATAGGGTTTCCTGCCTGAGCAGGGGGTTGGACTAGATGACCTCCAAGGTCCCTTCCAACTTTATTATTATTATTATTATTATTATTATTATTATTATTATTATTATTATTATTATTATTATTATTATTATTATTATTATTATTATTATTATTATTATTATTATTATTATTATAATATGGTTGCTAGTCTCTTCTTGAAAACCTCCAGTGATGGAGCATATTAGTTTGAGTTCTGAGTCTCGAAAAAAAAGACACTGAAAACCCCAAATAGGCAAAGAACAAATAGTATGTGCCAGGGTGTTTTTGTTGGGGTGTCAGTACAAATGGGATAATGTGAACTTGGTGGAGAAATTCAGAATTCACAGAGCATAGCTTGGTGATAAAGCACATGCATTAATGTGAATTGCATTGATTCCTGGGCAGCAAAAATTGGAAAAAAGCCTTTTTTAAGATAGTTACTAGTAGTCAGTAAAAAATAGTTGAGTTTATATATTGTACAGCCTCATAATGTAACTTGTTCCATTTCCATTTAACAGACAGTTAAATTGTAGTTTAATCAATAAAGCATAGCAGTGGGTAAACCAGGCCACTGTCTGGTTCAAATTCATGAAGATCTGATTCTTTTTAACGCATGCTGTTCTCCTTTCATGGTTATTTTGAGGACCCAGATTGTTGAAGGCAATATGCTGACATTGTAAACTGCCCGGAGGGTGCTGTGAAGCATTATGAAGTAGTATATAAGTGCTATGGCTATTATAAAAGAAAAATCAAATCAGGTGCAATTTTGGACATTTCCCCAAATTCTCACAAAGAGGTTTAGCCTATTTTTTTTATTTTTTTAAATATAAGTTGGTGGTGAAAGAGCGGTATGGAGGCCTAGGGGTGAAGACGTTTGCCTCCCACTCAGAAAGTTGAGAGATCAATCCTAAGTAGCGGCAGATGTTTCTCTCCTGGGGCACAAAGAAAAAAAAATTCTGCTCTGAACTCTGCATGGTGTCAGAAAGGACATCTGGCCAGTAAATGCTCAGCTCCATCCAGTCGCCCTGATTCTACCCCAAATTAAGGGATTATACGGTTGTAAAAAGTGATTCGTAAGTTGGTGGAGAATGATGGAATTTCTAAAGCCCCTTTGCCTAAGTTGTTCTGATCTGTGTTAGTTGTGTATATGTGGTTTTTAAAGTCTATTCCACTGGATGCAGTAATGGGCATGCCTTTAGATGACTTTACAGAGATGTAGGATAAATGTGTGGCTATTAATGGCTAGTACCACTGATGTCTTCAAATTACCTTTGGAGTAAAAGTCAGAATTTAAAAGATCTCAACGAACCAGAATAAAAGAGAGCAATTGCCAGTGTTTTCTGTTTGCGAGCTTTCCGAATTCAGCTAGCCTGCCATGAACTAACAAAATACTGAACTAGAGATACTTGTGTTCTGAACCACCACTGTTTCTCATATATTCACATCAAGTAGCTTGTCTCTGACATTAATCGCAGTATTGCCCATTCTGGTCTATGACCCCAATAAAGATTTGACTTGACTTGATTTGATTTGCAATATTGCGGGTCTGAAGTCCTGAATCACAAGGCAGACTATGACATTGTGCACTTTCCATGGTGCTGAAGTTTTCATTTTGCAAAGATGCTTCAGAAAGCTACCTTACTTAGTGTATATCAGGGGTCTTCAAACTTGGCCCTTTTGTGACTTGTGGACTTCAACTCCCAAAATTCACAACTTCTGGAGGCAGGTTGTTCCACTGATTAATTGTTTTAATTGTCAAGAAATTTCTCCTTAGTTCTAGGTTGTTTCTCTCCTTGATGAGTTTCCATCCATTGCTTCTTGTCCTGGTTTGGCTAGCTAGGACATCACTAGGATATTTCTATTCCTGTAACCATGGCATGGAGCATAGCCTTGTGGAGTTTGTGCACTTTTAAAAAGTTATATTTTCCTTATTGTACATTATAATTTGCAATGGAAGCTATAGTTTACACCAGGAAATGGGGTTATATAATCTTCTGTAAATTAGTGTAAACGTTTGAGTTGATACCAATACAATTCTTCAGGAGATAGTTAAAATATTATTGCTTTGTTTTTCTCCTGCACACTCCAAATCTTTTTTTCCTTACAATCTGTATTCTTTTTGCTCCACATGGGGGTGCTCTTACCATAACTATTCCAGTTTTCCAAAACCTGTAATCCAGTATTTATTTTTAGTGAATAATTTGTTTATCAGCTAGTTATTTTAATCTGATGCTGGCCATATTTATCACTGTCAACTAGGAAGCATTCTCCCAGCATTAGAAACTTATGCAACTTAGAAAGTAATTAACATGTAGAAGCTGATCTCAGAGGCTTTGGTTGGTGGTGTCAGGAAAAAAATGTGGACTGGGGAAGCCAGTTGCATTGACTTTTTGAGGAACAAAATGTACAATTTAGGAAATCTGGACATGCCAATTTATTGAATAGTTTCAAAAAAGGCTGTCATGCCAAAAGCCTCTTGCTTGTAGGCTGTTGATTATAGAATGATATATTTCATATAGAATAGTTACAAAAATATTAGTAAACCCCATATCATATAAAAGTTGTGCTATATAATACTGATGATTATTCCTAGGATAAAGTCTTGAAAGAGGTTTAGGGTGAGGAAAGTTCATTGGGATAAAAAGGCTTTTCAACATGCCACCAAGTCAGAATGGGATCTGTTTGGTTTAGTTTTAGCATATTGTATGATCCCAGATATTGGGAGTTCTAAACCATGACTAATATGAACATTAACTAGATTACAATGATTTGTGATGATGACATTGTTCTTGATGATGATGATGATTGATGATGACAATGATGATGATGATAATGATGATGATGACAATTTGGTGTGAACCAGCCCTTCTTCACTATCATCCTGGATTAATCTATCAGCTTTGATTATTTGTAATATTCAAATAGTTTTCTTAGAAAGCGTTATATTCTAAGGATGTGCTATTTTTCATATTAGATTATTAAAATGTGAACAACAGTAGTGCAGTTCTTCAAAGATGTAGTTCAGGTCCCATTTTATCCTTTCTCAGCCAGTTTTTTTCTATTCGAATGTACACACATATTGAGCAGTTAAATTAGGATTGATAAGAGGATCAGTTCAAAACTTTAACAGTAACATTTTTTGTGGACATTGTTTTGCTTTATTTGTTTTTCTTGTGGAGAGAACAACCGAATGAGATTCAGCACATCAAAATGACAACTGTATGGAAGATGGAAATGTCACTTTGAAGGCATCGCACCAAATAACAATTGACAATATTTGATCAAAAGTATATTTTCTCCCATTTTAACCCATTTCATATTTTGCTTTTATTGCAAATGTTGCCTCCTGCATAAATCCTAGCTAAATGGGCATTTTACAAAGGATGTAAGAAGAGTCTTATTGCATTAATAGAAAAATGGATCCAAGCTAGCATCCTGTTTCCATAGTGGCCAGTCAAATGTCTTTGAGAAATTCACATTCTGGGCACTGGCTTCTGTTTCTCAGTGTAGGTATTAACGGACTGATCACATCTGAGATAGGTTATATTACTAAGCCATTGTTTGGTTTACCCACGCTTTATTGAATAAGCAACAAAGGTGTGAGAGGTTGGTTCTAGAATTCTTTTACAAGAAGGGGAAGAGGAATTATTCTTTCTTTCCTTTTTCTTTTAAAAGGATACTTCTGTAGCTCTGGGGAGATGGTTATGAAGATCACTAATCTTGGCAGATAATTATATCATAAGCATTGGTGGCTAGCTTTGAAGCAAACCGAGATTTGACAAATGGAATTTGCACACAACATGTTCCTTCAGTGACACAAGGGGTTTATTAGTAACTGTGAGTCGATCTGATATTGTCATTTGGAGGCTAGAAAAGTAGAGGACACCTATAACAGATGCCAGGCAGACAGAATGGCTGTTCCTGATTGCTATTCAAATGCGTTTGCTCCCTAGTCTCTTTGATTACTCGTTTTTTCTGACAGCTTTTGATGAGTTTGACCTTTTAACAATAATAACAACAAAAAAGGATACTTATAAGGTCAGGATGTTTCTGTAATGCAGCTGTCTTTGTTTCAGGCCTAGCTGAGATCTCTGGTATGTTGTGAGTTAAGGCATTTGGTGAACTTAACAAACTGCAGAATTTCAACAGGCAATTTTATGAAGATAGGCTTAGCCAAATCCACCTTGCTTTTGTCAAAAGGACTGTGTACTCCACCACAAACATGTTCTGGTGCTTTCAGTACTGCTAAATGTAGGACATTTTTTGACATCCCCCCCCCCCCGTCGTTACCATTTCATAACCTTATGTGCACCAAAACAGCAGTCCTGTAGTCTTGCTAACTTTCATATGAACCTTACTTATTTATTTACAAGATTTGCATGCCCATCCATCTTAAAACACAACTCTGGGCAGCTCACAATAACAATCAAAGTATTTGCAAAGCAAACAAGGGTCTTCTGTGTCTTTTTGTTCTGCTCACAAGCTGTCACTGCCATTGACCAGGATCTTCTGGGTTCTTGGAAAATTAACAGAATATTGCAAGTCCAAAAGGACAATTCTCTACCCATCTCCTTTACTCTCAAGAAACCAGGGTGTGTGTGTCTCTTCTGAGTCTCTTGCCCCACCTACTATCTAGCTTCGGGTTATGCTGTCTCTTATTTGACCATTCCACAGATTGTATCTCTGGTCTCAGTTTCCCTAGATCAGGGGTAGTCAACCTTGGCTCTTTTATGACTCGTGGACTTCAACTCCCAGAATTCCTGAGCTCAGGAATTCTGGGAGTTGAAGTCCACGAGTCATAAAAGAGCCAAGGTTGCCTACCCCTGACCTAGGTCATCCCTACATAGCCCAATTACACACACTTATTACCAACCAAGCTCTCACACACACTGATTCTGGTCCCTCAAATGCAACAGAATCTATTCTGTAAATCATTTCATAGATCCTAGCTTACCCTCCAAATTCAGCCAGCGCTGGAAGAGAAAACACAACTTCCCGAAGGTAAGGAAAGGATACAAGAGGCAAGTTACTCTCTCCTGTTTTAAAAGTTCACCTGAGAAGGGAAAGCCAACCTCCTGAATGGTTCCTTTGCGTTTGATTTTTTTCTCAAGCTTCTGTGGTTTCTGGATGGACAAGTCAGCTAACTTTCCTTTCATCTTTTCAGGGAACCAAAGTTTCCCCACTCATGTCTAATAACTGAACTGTAGACATTTCCTGTAGCTGCTCAATCAGTTGGCTCTTTGCTTTCAGAGTCCAATAGTCGCCGAGCTGTGCAAAGAGGCTACGTTTGTCAGTTGCTCTGCTTATATCAAGATTGGCATCATCGAGACACTTCAAATAACTACATTCTAATCCGGAGGGGTCTTTTGCTTTGTCTCAAGCATATCACCAATGTCCGCTCCGGGAGAGAAAATTTCCTTCTTGTTCATGGCATGGAGATCCTTTTCAGAACATCTCAGGTAAGCAAACCTTCAGTGACCATGTTTGGGTAACATCTTGAGTTTAGCTCAGCCTTAGAGATAGAATAGAATAGAGAATAGAGCTGGAAGGAAATTTGGAGGTCTTCTAATCCAGCCCCCTGCTCAAGCAGGAGAACCTATACCATCCCAGACAGGTGAATGTCTAGTCTCTTCTTAAAAACCTCCAGTGATGGAGCGCCCACGATTTCTGAAGGCAAAGCTGTTCCACTGGTTGATTGTCCTCATTGTCAAGAAGTTTCTCCTTAATTCCAGATTGCTTCTCTCTTTGATCAGTTTCCAACCATTGTTTCTCATCCTGCCCTCTGGTGCTTTGGAGAACAAAGTTGAGGTCTAGCCTGCCAATTGTATCAAATGATGGTTTGATAGAATTGGATTATTGTGTGTTTATTTCCTGGATCAGCTCTGGGAAGTCCTGGGGGGGAGGGGGGAAAGGGAATAGATAGGTATATAAATGGATGTATTGTAGATTTATATGTGATTTTTTAAGGAGGTGTCCGGTGGGTACCCCATCTGCACCAGACGGGATGGTTGAGAGAGGAAGGGAGGTAGGTAGAGAGGGAGGAAGGAGGAGAGGTTGTAGGTTTGGGGGGAGGAAGGTGTGGAAAGTGAAAGAGGGGGGTGCAGGGGGGGACACCGGACACTTCCGTGAATGTATTGAGTAGTGTTATTTTCTTGGTTGATATTGTGATTAAATGCATCATATTTATATTATTGTTTTTAATTGAAAAATCAATAAAAATTAAAAAAAAAAGATGGTTAATCACCCTGCCAGTAGACCCACTTCTTCTACTTCTGAGATTATATATCCCTGTTGCCTTTGCAATAGCTTGTCTCCTGCTTGCCCTGAGCTGCTTTTCACCTGAACATATTGGGACACCTTTTTTTTTTACCTATTGGGTTGTAGCCACACACTATGGGGAAAAGCTAGATTGTCCTCTTTCCCTTTAATGACCCCAATTAATCCTCTTCCCTATTTGTTCATATATGGTGAAAACAGTGGCAAGTAGAGAATCTTGCTTGAATTGTTGGGGTTAATGGGATCCTTGGTGCCCTTTGAGCCCCACAGTTCAACTCTGAGCTACCAATATTGTCTGCTATTGGTTAATGGTTGCTTCAAGAGATTGTCCCTGACAGATCAATAACAGGTAGTTCAGGTTGAAAGATGAACCACATTTAGGTGAACTAATTGAAATTAAACTGTGACTTACAGGCTATGGTTAAAGTTCTCTGCCTTAATGATAAACTGATCTATAATATATATTCAGTCAACATTCCAAGACACCTGATGTGGCTTTAATGAGTTAGGACTTTGTAGTTGCCAAGGCATTCCATATGATTTATCTCCTTTAAACGTGATCCATAATGGCCACTTAAAAATTGTCCCAAAGATGAATAACATCGCTTAAAAACAGACATGCCCTGTGGAAAATGTAGTGTAATTATTATGTAATGATTTTGCATATTTATTTTCATTTAAATAGAAATACCAAATTTGGAAGGACTGTGATCAAAAGAAACTCATAGCCAAGGATGAAATATTGACGTTTATATTTATGATCTCTTGCTCTTACAGTTAGACTTGGATTAGGTAGTCTACAGGCTGCGTCTTATTTTCCTTATTAACTAATCCAGTTTTAAGGGATGAGTTAAAAGAATGCTTCCCAAATCGTGTAACATTTCCTGTTAGAATTATGGATAAATAATTCATTCAATCTTTTCTATCTCAGTTCTGCATCTGTAAGCCTTTTTTTTTTGACGTGTGAATTTCACATTTATTTCGGTATTGGGTTTTTTTTATTATCAAATGTCCATTTAATATGCAATGTCCTCAAACCTACATATTCTCCTGTGCAGCTTTCCTTGACACTGTATTCACCAAATTTCAGACAAGTGAGAAGTGTAACTGTTCTGAAACATATAATTGTCCAAAAGATACGAATGAGATTTGTTCGCTCAAAAATGCAAAGCAGACAAAATTCTCTCCATCTCCCTTTAGAAATAGAGGGAGTGTTGCAAATATGCATTTGACCCCAGAGCTTTTTTTTTTTTTTGGTTAATCTTAAAATATTTAATCCTGTTACGGATTTTGCATCTCGGACTACTTTGGATCGAGGGATAAAGCAATAGGCACAATCTTAGCTGGTCACACTAGCAAACTGCATCTTTATTATATTGGTTCCATTTCACAAGCAAGCTGAGTTAATTCCAAACTCTAAAGCTGGAAAAGAAAATCTGCATGAAGGGGACCCTGAAATGATAGTTACGATGTGATCTTAAGATAAGCACCTCCTCAGCACTTCCAACAAATTAAAAGATTTTCATCCCAAGAGCCAAATGTCCTCTATCATCAGAACACTCTTTTTTAAAAAAAAAAAAAAAAAAAAAAACATTTTAAAAGTGTAGCTTTTTGTAGTGTTGGAATTTTTGTTGCTAGCTCACACACTGTGGTCTCTGGAGAAAAGAAAAGAGAACAGCTCAGCCATCATATATCTTTCTTGCTAAGCTGTGTGATGACCATCTACATAAGAATGTGATTGGTTTTTCATCCCATTTGTTTCGAGCAAAAAATTGTCAACCCCCTCTGGAATGCAGGCGCTCTGCAAAGTGAACACATTATGCTTCGCAGCCCTAAACATCTATTTATCAACAAATAAACCAGTAGCACAGTTTTGTTGCTCGTGGTCCTGAAAACCACTCCTACGGCCTTCAGATCCCTTTTAACAATGGCTGCCAAGTTGTAACTGTTAATTTGATAGAAAAGAGTAGTTATTAAACACATGGGAAATAATCACATTTACTATAATTAATGTAACAGAATAAGTCCCTTGCATCAAGCTGGATTCTTTGTCGGTGGAGCTACCTGAGCCGGAGGAAAAAGGATAATCTGAATGTTCATTTTTTGCTCTTGTTTAGGACAGTCTGTTTAGCAAGACTCTGGACCCTATCGTCAATACAGTGACTCAGATCCTCAGGAAAACCTATCCAAAGATGCCCTTTCCTTCAGCTGCAATTAGCAGTTCCTATTCTTTTCCCATTCCTGGGAAAACAGAACTTTCACTCCCCAGACCTGAAGGTAAGTTGTTCCAAAGTCCCAAGAAGAAAAAGAAAATATTCAGGCTGTATAATAATAATAATAATAATAATAATAATAATAATAATAATAATAATAATAATAATAATAATAATAATAATAGTAGTAGTAGTAGTAGTAGTAGTAGTAGTAGTAGTAAAGTTGGAAGGGACCTTGGAGGTCTTCTAGTCCAACCCCCTCCTCAGGCTGGAAACCCTATACCATTTCGGACAAATGGCTGTCCAGTTTCTTCTTAAAAACTTCCAGTGTTGGAGCATTCACCGCTTCTGGAGGCAGGTTGTTCCACTGGTTAATTGTCCTCACTGTCAGGAAGTTTCTCCTTAGTTCTAGGTTGCTTCTCTCCTTGCTTAGTTTCCACCCGTTGCTTCTTGTCCTGCCTTCAGGTGCCTTGGAGCATAGCTTGACTCCCTCTTCTTTGGGGCAACCCTTGAGATATTGGAACACTGCTATCATGTCCCCCCTCATCCTTCTCTTTGTTAAACTAGAGAAGAATAAATCTCCACAGGAGGCAAAATATCTCCACAAGAAGATTATGCCAAACAAGGCCAATAAATTATGGGTCCTTGGTGCTCTCCAAGTTTGGTTGTTTTCTTGCAGACATTTCATTACCAAACTAGGTAACCACATCAGTGCGCTGATGGTCTTGGGTAAAGAAACGTCTGCAACAAAACCACCAAGCGCAGAGAGCACCTAGGATCCCTCATCTCAACCTTCAGCTACAAATATTCTCCTCTCTCAATAAAGCCAATAAAGATTGTACACCTTCAACATGCTTGCTGATGGAGAAGTGGGGTGGGGATGAAGGTGGCAGGGAAAATTAAAATTCCAACCAAGAAGGGAAGATGGAATGAAGTAGTTAAATCATTTTGGGAACTAATTTGATGATAGTATTGTCTTGAGAGATGGTTTCCCCTCATGAACTCTATGCCTGCTTACTCGGAGAAAGAGGAGAACTCTGAGATTTAAGAAACTCATGCAGTATGGTGGAAGTTGATGTGTAGTTTAGCAGGATGGTTGAAGCTCCACACCATAAACCAAGACAAAAAAAACCAAACATGCAGGGTTGGTAATAACTTCTTGCAATTATGTCATCTGAATAAAAGATTTAAAAAATAGTTGAGCAGACAGCAAATTCTATTTAGGATGCCTGCAAATTACCCTCAAGTGCATGCTTGTGATTTTGGTTAAATTGTCTTGTTTTGCATATTGCTTTTTTTCTTCGTTATAAATGCATATATTGTTTCTTCTCTAATGAGACTTATTTTTTTGTGTGTGTTGTGGATGCTATCAATGTCCGAGTCACCCATGTGGGAAACAGCTCACTTCTTTGGACAGTTTGATTCTTGGTTTCATTGTCTTTTCTTTGCAGATTATTTTGATGAAGACGCTGAGGAAGAGATTGAGAAAGACTGTGATAATGAAGATGCTGAAAATAAAGAGGAAGTAAATAACTTTATTTTGTAGCAAGCTGCCATGTGTTTGATAGCCATGCCTTAATTCATTACACTTTTAATAGATGAATGATTGGAGGAGATATCAGCAGGGATGCTTCGTCCTTTCTGAATGTCTGCCAGATATTCTAAGAGATTCAAAGCCCCAATCAGCCGTAAAACTGCTTTTCTAAGCAAGATTCAGATCAGGCCAAAGTCTGACGGAACATTATAATAACTGCTCTATTTACAATAAGCTGGTTTTAAGTCTGACTCTTGTCTGGATAGGAGAAAACCAGGGTCTAAGCATATGTTACTGCAAAATCCATGGTGGAGCAAAAGCGGGATATTGTACGCATTGAAATAGTTAAGGTCATCACCTTGCTATTTATGAGAAAAAAACTTATTCTGTTATAGAAATATTTAACCTTGTTGTTATAAATAATGTTGAACTAGAGGTCCTGATGGTTGACTTTTGGATGTATGCAAAGTTAAATTGCCAACCAATAGGTATCTGTTTTATGGTTAGCTTCTTATTTTTCATAATTGTGGATAGATATGACCCCCTGTTATTGTCACAAATTACCACACGTGAGTCAAAATACATGGTGAAATGATTATGTATTTCTTTCTGCCTCCCCTTCTCTCTCAAATGAGTTTATCTAAGTGCAGTCCAAAAATTGGGGCCTCCAGATGTTGGGGAATACATCTAGGAATCTCAAGTCTAGGAAGTCAGGAGCTATCATTCAGAAATATCCTGTGACATTCCTTACCTATTGTACTGGTTATAATTGTGGTGGCAGTATATGGAATATAATAGGAGTAGGCTTCAGCCAAGACTATGGGTGAAGATGAGAGGGTTTCTTCCTTATTTTTCATTCTTATTTTGAAAGGATGATGATCTAGAGAAGGATATTAACAAGCTCCTGTCAAAGCCAGAGCTGGACCGACCGGAATCGGAGCTGAATCAGTATATGGTCATGTGTCCTGAACTTCAATATAACTTTCAGGTGAGAACCTTCTGGGGTTTTGACTTTTCAATCCATCCAGAAATCTGATTTATGCAATGATCCATAATGGTTGGTTGTCTGTTTTTCTCCTAGTTGAAGGAAAAAGAAATAGAGCTTAAAGATGAGCTGAATTCTGTGGACATCCCTGGGACCCTGACCAGTTCCTGCCTCCATGTCATTCCATGTGCTATTTCCCTGAAGTGCCAGCTCCAATGTAGAGAAGGGGACCAAAGTATCGAAGAAGAAGAAGAAAAGCAGATCCAGAGGACTTTAGAGAGGCCAGTACACAGAGAGGGAAAAAAACAGAAACCTCAAGAACCTGGAAAAAGAACTTTTGGTGAATCAGAACCTTTGGTGACTACTTTCAGAAAAGGCACAGTCTCCAGTAAGGGTCATACAGCCCAAGAGGGATTGCAGAACAGGCAGACATCCCAGTTCCAACATATGAATTCCTGTGGACCTGGCTGCCAGGAGAGAATAGAAGCTTCTGAAATGGTCACAAAACTTTTGGAGAAGCACCCTGGGAATATCCCTTTCCACAAACCTAGGTACTTTATGGCAAGGGCTAACTGCACCCAGTCCATTCCAGACTACAGAGTACTAGCATTCCCAGATCTCTGGGGTCATCAACCCCCTACTTACAGCCAGCCTTTACAGCAAAGGAGATGTGGCATCCAAAAGTAAGTTTCTCTCCCTTTACTTCTAAACCTAGAGTAAAGATATAGAGATAGGAAGCTTGCAAGGGGTCAGTGGGGGAAATAGCGAGCACCACTCTCACTAATTATATATCGAGGCAATGTTGGCCAATGGAAGTGTAGTTGGAGCCATGGGAAAAACAGAAATCACTGTGATGCCTTTGGGGAACACATCTCCCCACAACTCAACAAGGAGTGCCTCAACAGGCTGTTTGTGATGAGTGGAGCAAATCTAAATTGGGGGATGGATTAAAGTGTTCGGGCATAGGACAGGACTGTCAAGTTAAGACTACTTCATGCTGCAACATACTTCCCCATGTTTTATACCAGGGGTCTTCAAACTTGGCAACTTTAAGACTTGTAGACTTCAACTCTCAGAATTCCTCAGCCAGCCATGAGTTGAAATCCATAAGACTTAAAGTTGCCAAGTTGGGAGATCCCTATTCTACAGGACCAGAGTGAAAGAAAAAGGTAGCAATCCCAACAAGCATGTTCTTCACCCCCACCTCAATCTTTTTTTCCTTACCACAGGGCCAAAATATTTGAAGACATCCGCCGTGTGGTCCAGCCAGCAGATATAATCAAGCGAGTTGTCTTTAATTTAGACAGCTCTGGGTAAGTAAATTTTTGTTACCGTAGTTGAGGCCATTGTTAGCGAATCATGGACTTTTGCCATCTTTCCTCCCCCTCTGCACATTCATAAAATCTTCCCTGGAGGGTCCTCTTCCGGAGACAGGATGAAGACAAAGCCAAGGTGGTGTAGTGAACTGGAGGAACCCAGGTTCAAGCACTGATTCGCATGAAAATCTTGCTGTTAGTTTTGGGAGTAATGTTCTATCAGCCCAAACGTCCTCGTAGGATTGTGGATATAGAGTTAAATCAGGAGTCTTCCAACTTGGCTCTTTTATGACTTGTGGACTTCAGCTCCCAGAATTCCTCAGCCAGGCATTCTGGCTGAGGAATTCTGGGAGTTGAAGTCCACAAGTCATAAAAGGGCCAAGTTTGAAGACCCCTGAGTTAAATGCACTGTGATCTCTATATAAACCACCTTGTTCTCCCAGCAAAAAGGAAGGATGTAAATAGAATTAGAAACCTATGGGGAACCTAATGATTATGAAATACCTCTGTTTCTGTGGGTCCCAGTGCTTTCTGCTAACTTCTTCAGTGGTTAACAGGGCTAGCTATTTCTCAGTCAGCTTTGCACTAATTGTGTTGCCTTTTGTTTCAGGTCTTTACAGTCAGATCAACAAAACTGCTTAAAATTCTTTTCCAAATTTGAATCTGGGAATCTCCGCAAAGCCATCCAAGTGCGGGAGTAAGTATGACAAATAGGACCAGCAGAGTATCTAAGGTGTTCCAGGCCATCTTGGGAAAGATTAGACTTAGAGACCACGATGGAAGGCAAACATTATAAACATTATAAACCATAATGTTTAACTTTTTGGAAATCCATCATATTAGTAAGGGAGTATCTTCACAGCACGGTTATTAGGAAAAGTTGTTTTCAGTAGACAGAAATTACTGTTACTAGACTACTGAACTGATCATTCTCACTCTCAGGTCAAAGTACTGGTACTGGAGAGGGACAGATGTTTGGCAGCTGCAGGTGTTTGCCTAGTCCTGTGTGGAATGCAAAGGTTGGAGGTCCAACAACTGGGCCAAACCAACAATATATCTTAATAATCAGCTTACATCAACAGACTGCAGAGTCCTGTGGTATATCAAGTTCCCAGTGAATGTCAGATGACTAGGTCTCTATGTTTCTACTGTTCTCTGTAGTGCTTGAGCAGGGGGCTGGACTAGAAGACCTCCAAGGTCCCTTCCAGCTTCTATTCTATTCTATTCTATTCTATTCTATTCTATTCTATTCTATTCTATTCTATTCTATTCTATTCTCCTTGGGTAGCTATGTATCATGACTCTAATATGTGGGTTAATATTCCATGGATTCTGCCAATGGATTCTGCTCTCAAACAAACCTGTTTTGTAGCTCGTGGATGTTTCAGACTCTGTTGTTGTGCTTTGTGATCCAGGTATGAATATGATTTGATCCTCAACCCTGACATCAACAACTCCCAATATAATCAGTGGTTCTACTTTGAGGTCAGTGCCATGAAGTCTGCCATTCCATACTGCTTCAATGTTATCAACTGTGACAAGCCAAACAGCCAGTTTAATTATGGTAAGAGTTGTCATATTGAGGGAGGGGTTGGCCCACTGTCCATGGTTAAGCTGTTTCTGGGAAAGTCAGGTGAATGAGCCCTTAAAACATGGATTCTCAAGGGCTCTTGTATTTCACCTTTTTTTACTGGGTACTGAAATAGTTTTCATACTGGTGCATGGAATTCCAAGCCTTCCCCTTCTTGTGCAGATAACTTTGACATCTGATAAATTAAAAAAGCAACGAAACCTCATTCTTTGGTAGAATAAATTGAAAACTATCTGTTTTCTTTCTCTGGGCATAAGACAAATGAGGACAGGGAGAGAAAATGGAAGTTAGCCAAAGTGGTGAGAATGTTTGTGAAGTTGGAGTAAATTGGTATTTGTGAATAAGGATGGAAGACACCAATGGGTGGTTTAGAAGGACTTTATTACTTCTAATTGCACGCTGTCATCCAAAATATGTAACGTAAGAGAAGCAAAGGGGAATCAGTTTGGTGTAGTGGTTAAAGGCCTCAGACTAGAAATTGGGAGACTGTGAGTTCTAGTTCTGCCTTGGGCATGAAGCCAGCTGAGTGATCTTGGGCCAATCACTCACTCTCAGCCCTAGAAAGAAGAAGAAGGCAAGGGCAAAATATTTCTGAAAATATTGCCAAGAAAACTTGAGGGACATGACCATGGATATAATAGATGTTAACTATGACTTGAAGGCAAAAGAAGTCAGAAGACTCAAATCCTCACATGTCTCAAATATTGGCAACAGGGGAGGCATAGAAAGGGAAGTTGAGGGTTTTGTCATGTGGAAACTTGGTTTTAACTGCTAGGAATGAAGCTCCTGAAAGACAATGCCCTCAATTGCAGCGGAACTCTGAAATCACATAATACCAGTTTTATTCCAACAGAATTCTTAATACTCACTTTAATAATATAATCTGCATAAATGACAACCGGAGCCTCTTTTCAAACCTATCCAATTTTCATTATGGGTTCCTGGATCTTGTAATTTGGGTAGAGCAGTGAAAATTCTCTGTGAGAATTATTATTGCCCTTTCTGCCACCAGATCCTGAAGGAAAGAAGCTCCATGTCCAAAATTACAAAATTTTTGGAAAGATGGGAGAGGTACAGTTGCAGATGTGCGTGCTCTGGGGACACCTGACTTCTGAAATCTGAAAAGCATTTGAGGTTTTTGCTCAGCCAAATGTCCTTCTGTATGATTGGAAGTCTTGTGCAAGGCACTTATCCTCTCATGAGGCTTTCCTGCTGAACAGAAGCAGGTCAGAACTGGGAATGGCAGTTTTATAAAATCAAAGCAATTTGGGGCTGGGGCACAGACTCCAATAATGCATCATTCGATGTATATCAAGCAGAGAAATGGTAGTGGCTTGAGTTCAAGAAAAGTTGAAAACAGAAATAAAATGAAAGGAGAGCTTGTCGTCTCATATATAACACTGGGGCAATTCCAGCTGTGCAGGTTGAACAACTGATGCACAGAACTAATCAAATTATCGGAAAAGCCATCAAAATGTATTACACAACTGTTTGTTTGTTTGTTTTTCATTTCCTCCAAATGGTCAAACCATTTGGAGGCATCTGGAAACGTTCTTGATGACATGAGAGGAGGTCAGGTCAACCGAGGTCATACATTCTAGGATTGGCACAAAAAGGGTTTGCTTTGAAATTGCAGAACACTTCAGATTGTCAACAGTGGAGGTGCATCAGATAGTCCTTGTTGCATAAAAATATTATTTCTGTCTTCACCCCTAAACATGCCATAAGTAAAACAGCTATTCCCATTCCACTGCAGTGGAAATCATATCGTATCTCTCTCCCTCCCCTCCCAAACTCTTTTTGTGTGTGTAGGTATGCAACCAGTCATGTATTCAGTGAAGGAGGCTCTGCTGGGCAGACCTCACTGGATTCGGGTGGGCTATGATATCAGTTATTACAAGTAAGTCTCTACTATTCTTTTATGTGACATTTGAGCTTCCTGCTAATTATATTTCTTCCACGTACTTCTGTCTATTAATGCTACTTACTTCATTGTGTGCATACATCTTTTAGGGCTTTCCAAAAATAATAGCGGATGTGTTGAGACTAACAACTCAACCTTCTCAGCTAGCATAGTCACTCTGGAAGTTCTAGTCCCCAAACGTTTGAAGGACCTCAGGTTCAGGAAAGTAGTGTTGCAATTTCCTAGCACTTCCCCAAACTAAAATTCCCCAAACGTACTTTGCAAACACGCAACAAAGGATTGTAGGATTGTCTCAAAGGTGTTTTTTTCCCCCAAGAAACTTCTTCAAGAACTGAAGAAGCTGCTTGGATGAGACAGTGAAACGTCTTCAAAGAAAAACAAAGGAAGTCCAGTTGCCTATTGAGAAAGCACCTTTGGGACAATCATGACCTGGATGACTGAATTTCTCCATAGAGAGATTGTAGGATTGGTGTGTTTGTGTGAGTGCTGAAGGATTGAAGAACGGGAGTGCACATAGCTCATGCCTGCAATGCATACTAACAATAGGAAAGGATTTTCCTCGTAATATTCTACGCATTCTTTTCCTGCTTGGCAATCCTTACTCTCCAGTGGGTTTTCTCTTCTCTTCACACGTCTTACACTTCTAATAATAATAATAATAATAATAATAATAATAATAATAATAATAGTAGTAGTAGTAGTAGTAGTAGTAGTAGTAGTAGTAGTAGTAATAGTAATAGTAATAATAGTAATAATAATAATAATAATAATAATAATAATAATAATAATAATAATAATAATAATAATAATAATAATAATAATAATAAAGTTGGAAGGGACCTTGGAGGTCATCTGGTCCAACCCCCTGCTCAGGCAGGAAACCCTATACCATTTCAGACAAATGGCCGTCCAGTCTCTTCTTAAAAACTTCCAGTGTTGAAGCATTCACCATTTCTGGAGGCAGGTTGTTCCACTGGTTAATTGTTCTAACTGTCAGGAAGTTTCTTCTTAGTTGCTTCTCTCCTTGGTTAGTTTCCATCCGTTGCTTCTTGTCCTGCCTTCAGGCGCCTTGGAAAATAGCTTGACTCCCTCTTCTTTGGGGCAGCCCCTGAGATATTGGAATACTGCTATCATGTCCCCTCTCGTCCTTCACGGATACAGAAGGTGTTTAAAACAATGGGAAATTTTCTCATTGATTGTTTCCAGTCTTTACTGGGGTGAATATTTCTACCACAGATCCAATTTCAAAATTTTGTAAGGTCACCCCACTTCAATGAAGACTTTCTAAGCATCTCTCCATAAGCCCAGATCTTTCCAGAGCCACCAAACTGTGACTCATGCAGAGGAACAAGGAGCAAACTCCTCTGAAGAGTGAGCTCATTCTTGTTTTTTTTCAGCCTTTGAATGGATAAGAGACATTTCTTCCACTTCAGCTTTCTAGAGATTAAAACTAAAATTCATTGAATGAAAGTATTTGGCGAAATAGGGTAATGATCTGAGATACATAGAACATAGAATAGCAGGGCTGGAGGATACCCTTGGAGGTCTTCTAGTTCAACCCCCTGCCCTCTTTAACCTTGTCATGATCATTTATGTGGCGGCCCAACTCACAATGATTCTGAACTGCTTAAAGAAGTAAAACCCCTAAGTATAAAACCCAATAAACTCTCACCTCCCTGTCAGCAACAATCAAACCATCTACTTGATGGACACTGTATCACCTTGACGTCCCCAGATTCCCAGGCAAAACCATGTCTTCAGGGCCTTTCCAAAGTGTATCAAGGTGTGGGCCATTCTTAGCTCCATGGGGATGGTGTTCCATTGAGAGGGAATCACCATGGAGAAGACCCTTCTTCTTGGTCCAACGAGATAGACTTCTTTAAGAGAAAGGATCCATAACCTGTTCTGCCTTCCCTCTCTAGTAGTCAGGTAGATGTAACTGGGAAAAGACAATCCTTCAAATAATGTGGTCCTTCAAGGAATCCGTGATTCTTTTACTTCCAGTTTCTCTTAGCATGAATAGAGCTGTTTCTACCATAGCAGGTCTGTAAACAGATGCAAGCACATAGAGTTTGATTACTGGCATAATAACATTAAGAAGGCTGTTACTATGCCGTGGTTAAATCACCGCTGACTGGTGCAATTAAATTATGGAAGTACAATTAAATTCTTAATTGTAACCTGGTTGCAGATGATGGAATGGGGTTCTCCCCATTTCATTTTCCCTGGATGGGAAATAGAGTGAATTTAATTCCATAGTGCTCTGAACAGTTACAAATCTGTCATTGAATTTATGTTCCTGAATTTTAATTGTTCCAAAATCTACCGGGCACCTCAAATCTATTGCTCTTCTTATACCATAATATTTCTTGAATTCTGAATTTCTTGTATTCTGAAGGTTATAGCAAGTATTATAGGGCCCAAATGTTGCCACCTATACTCCTCCCCCGTCCAAAACAACAACAACAACAAACCAGATTTGCTGAACATTTGCAAAATCTCTCACTTTACGTCCATGAAATTCTTGGTGGGAGGGAGAAATGTGGGGAGAAGCCTTAACAATAATAAGTGTGCATTCTCCAGTTAATTCTTAAATCCACCATTTTAAGTGAGGTTGCTTCACTATCTTAACATTTCAGACATCCCCAGTTGTTGAAGTTTTTTTTGAGGGGAAGCATGCCTTCTAGTCCATGCTAAGAGTTGATTTTTTTGCATCCTACGTCAAAGAAAGGAGATGGCGTCAGCTATTTGGTAGGTAGGCCAGTCATTTGCTGTGGGCTACAAACCAGGAGACTGTGAATTCTAGTTCCGCCTTAGTCACAACGTCAGCTGGATGTCCTTGGGCCAGTCCTTCTCTTTCAGCCCTAGGAAGAAGGCAACAAAAATCTCTTTTGAAACCTTGCTAAGAAAATTGGAGGACTTGTCCAGTCAGTTGCCATGGGTCAAGACTTAACTCAAAATCTCCTTCCCCTGGCAAATGTTGAGAAACAGCCACCACGGAGTCTCTTATTTGCAGAGTCTAATTGCAGAATCTTGAAAGCCTATCCAAAATATTCACTACCCTCTTTCTGAGAACAACGGGATTCAGTCCTCATGTTCTGAAACTCATTCCTAGGCATTTTGCTTCCCCTAGGCTGTGTAATCATTTTATCTCCCTCCCTGCTCTTCTTCAGGTTTACACGATAAATCCCTGTAGAGTAGGTGAATATTGAAGGAAAATAAGTTCCAACTTTTATTCCTGAAGAGGCTTCTGGATACTAATTAGAAAAAAATGGATGTAGGTCGGGAGAGGACAACTTTCAGCCTTGGGATCCATGACCTTTGATCTCATTTTATGCAGATATTGACCTGATATCAGAATCTCACTGCAGGTCTCCTGCTAGGAACAATCTGCAATAGTTGGTAAATGGAGAGGGAGAGAAGAACAATGTCAGAAAGAGAAAATGAGAAAGAGATGCTATTAATATTATGTCTGAACCCAGTTGATACCTCTCCATCATACCTCCCTTTCTCCTGTTGTAACATGCAGGTATTAATTCCGATCTAATCATAATACACTTTTCTATGAAGATTGCTGAGGTAATGTAAAACACTTCGAACAGCTTGGTGTAACACATAATTAGAATACTTTACGATGCACAGCTGAAGTTGAAGATGGTATCTGAAATCTGTGCAGGTGGCACTTTTTGCAAAACATTACTACAAACAGAACGTTACTGGGCTCCTGGAACAGGGTCATTATAATCTGAATTATAATTCAATTAAATGTTGTTATTTCGGGAGAAATCCTAAGGAGAGGAAAGGAAGGATTTATATAGTAAAGGTCTTCCATCTTGGAATGAGATGAGTGGCCTTCGAACTTAACACCGATACAAAGTTGTCAAATGGTTGTGATTTCATAATGCTCCCTCTAATCCTTGGGCGCTGCCCAGAGTCACTCTATGATGGAAATGGGCAGTTTCTAAATATGATGTAGATCAGGGGTCCCCAACCCCCGGTCCGTGGACCCGTACTGGGCCATGGCATGCCAGCAACTGGTCCACATAAACAAGCAAAGCCCCATCTGGGAGATGCAGGCAGCACACAAAACCACGCACCCTCCGGTCCGCGGAAAAACCTCTCTCCATGGAAACGGTCCCTGGTGCCCAAAAGGTTGGGGACCTCTGATGTAGATGAATAAATAATTGTTCATTTACCATAGTTCAAATGGCAAAATCTGTCCAACCTTGGTTGATTTTGGATAAGTAAATTGGAGTTATTGGTTAGAATTTGGATGGGAAACTTCCAGGGGATGTCAAAGCTGTAGGCTACAGTAAAAATTCAAAAAAAGAATTAAGGACAAACCATTTCTCTGTTGCCACAACACAACTACAAGAAAAGATTGATGAAGTCCTTATCACTTGATTTCAACTCAAAGAAATCTTTATTTTGTACAATCACCGCTCAATACCTTGATTGATGGTATTCCTGCCCCACTAAGTAGATCAGTACATCAGATTGGCAGAGAACTATAAACATGGAAACCAGAAGCTTGGCATGGAGTACCATACAGAAATAGAATAATAGAACAGAATAATAGAAAAGTAGCCCTGGGATTGGAGGACAAAAATAACAATGATCTCATTGGGGAGCTTAATAAAAGAATTCAATTCAGATTAGAAGAAGCATCTGTGACTTCCTCCCCCACACCTGATGGGGACAAATAATATCCTACACTTTTCTCATATTCTTTCTTTTAAAATCATGACCTTTTAGCTGATTAACCACCTTTAACTTGCAGCAATAGCTTGAGACATATCCAATCAGAAGTGAATGTCTAATGTCATAACCTGAAGCATAATCACACAACGCGTTATCAGTCCAGACAGTTTATACAGTTACTGTATGTATTCTAAAGGAATGCTCGCATATGTTGCATAATATGTGGGTCCTCTAGCTGGAGTGTTGGTTGCATAATTTGTTATTCCTGCAGTCAA